TGAAGCGATAAGCAGGGAGTTGCTCAGCCTGTAGGGAGTGAGCAGGGAGGGAGGGTCATAGTGTCATTTACACTGGGGACGCTGGGGACATGTCCCCACCACTTTTTGAAATGGTAGATATTGTCCACATCACTTTTTGAAAGCATTTGTTAAAAATGTTAATGTTAAGAAATGTTAATTAACAAATGAAAATGCTTTGAGAAAGGTTTATTTGCACTATTCTGAAAACCAGCAATGCAATAAAAACATAGAAAAAACTGAAAGTAACTTAAGCTAAAAAAAGAGCTACAGATTACTGCATTATTCTATTACATTTTTATATTCTGAATCATCACGCCAACTGAATTTGTGCTTCCCTTTACATAAATAAAGACATTCCACCATAAATTGGTGCAGAAAATATCCCCAGAATGCAGGAAATTAAGTGTTTAATGCTCAAAATAGTATTCAAATATATTCTTGTCTTGTTCTCGTGACCCCAATCTTGTGCAATGTCACATCTCATGGGCAAAGTGTGTCGTCACCCCCCTAATCTGAGCCCTTAAATGTCCCCACCACTGTTCAACACAAAGTGAAGCCCTTGGGTAGGATGTGTGCCATGCTGTAGTGACAATGATGATGATTACTTCAATTAAGGTTGATGATTATAACATATGAGTACACTGATTCACTTGCACTGGTGCACTTATCCGTGGCACATACCACTCGGCTTGTTTGTGTACAGTAGGTACACATGTTATATATGGAAGGATGGTGTATCGGTGAGAAGTGTCTCACCAATTTAGGTGAGCCGCCTGAGCCAACAATGCCAGGGCCAATTTTTTGGTCCCAGTCCAGCTCTCGATAGAAGTGTTTGATGGTTCATCTCAACAACTACTAAATTTGTTGAGATTAATGTAGCTGCAGTGTTACAAGTCTAACTACATTTCTCAGTAGTGTGGTGGTAGCTTCGCTTTTTTCTGATCAAATGGCTTTTCAACCTCGAAGCTCCTTTATTGATCAAGTACCGTGGTAGCATCCACACACTGGGGTTGGGCCGATAGACGATGCCATCGGTGATGGCTGATGGCTGGTGAAAGCAGGATTTAATCCCCAAAAACATTATCATTATCATTTTAAAAATACCTGGTTTGCACCTGTCTCTGAATTCTCTTCTCCCCACACTCACACACACCTAACGTTACATCTCTGTCTCTCTCCACCTGTCTGCTCCACTTTCTCCATCAGCAGTGTGTTTTATAAAGTCGCCTAAAACACACAGAACTGGTCTTTTTTCATATTGTTCCACCCGTGATCTGTTATCACGGCAGCAGGTGAGCCGCATGCCGGCTTGTTAATGACGTAGCCTATGAAACAACCGAAACCATCTGCACTCTAGTGCCTGCTGTTGCATTACCTGGTCCGTGACTTGTAACGTAATAATGGAGTGCCAAGATTTTTACTGAGTGAAGTCTGTGCGAGTCAAGAGATGCAATAAAATTACTGTTATTATTGTTAATAATAAAATGTACTTCAAAGAACGGAGCACTTCCTGAAGGCTACCATGCCGACCAATCACAGTTCTTGCTGTCTGTCTTCTTTTCTTCCTTTTTAATAATATCAAATAGCAACATATATCACCAATCTTAACATTGCAATGGATACTTCACATTAGGGATACCGATGTATTTATAGCTAGGGGGTACAATAACAGAACAATACAGCGAAAATAAATAAGGATATCACAGATATCTGTGAAGGTTCTCAGAAGGTTAAAGTCAAGGGCAACTGGACTTGGTTGAAGGATATCACAGACCTTTAAGCGAGTACAGACATTAAGGAGCCTATCTTCAAAGCCTTTCTGTTGGAGGAGAAACTAAACAAAAATAAAGTTTCTTTCTCAAAGACTATAAATGGGGTTTTTGTTTGTAAATTTGCATTTGTGTTTATGAAATTTAGCCAGAAACAACATAAATTGATTAAGAAATAATGGTCGCAGTGTTACACTAAAAAAGATATTCTGCCAGAACCAGCAGAAACCTGAATATATCTAATCATTAATAAATGTACATACTGTACATCCTGACAAAACATATGTAATGCCGTTTCTGTATGAGTCTCACAGAAGGTACAGTTCTGCATCGCCGCGACATGTTGTTGTATTTTTGGGGAGGTGCAGGTCAGGTTACAGCTTAGATTCAACGTGTAGACACCACAGTCCAAAATTATGATTTTGCTGCATTTAAAAAAGCGCTCTGCCGGAGAACTTTCATCAATGTATCAATCAATTTAGTTTATAGAGCACTTTAAACAGGGTTGGAGTTACGTGGGAGCCAGTGGGAGCTCAGCTCCCATAAGGAGGTCTGAGCTCCCATGGAAGCAGTAAAATCAGCATCTGTTGCGGTCACTAATTCATTCTTCAACAACCATTATTTTGAATCACACAATGTATTTTTATTGTTATATTGTTATTATTCACATTAAAAGATAAACAGACTTAAATGAACATACTTTCCTAATGAACTAATGTTACGCTGCGCACCGCATGACTGACAGGATGGTTCCACTTCTCCACCATCAACCACTATGGTGCGCAGTATAGATTTGACTGAACAGGTCTGAGACCGCGACCCGCAAACATTTGGTGTACTGGGACTTTTTCAAGTTGCCGGTCCTCTCCTCTGCCCTCTCCACATCAGGTTCTCTGGGCGCTATGCATGGGCGTAAGTTTCATCTCACAGTAGGGGGGGGAAGTAAACATAAAATTTCACGAGAGCAATTTTTGAGGGGGACACAAAAATACAGCCAAAATTGTACTTGTAGGCCTATAGGATGCGTGTACACAGAGAGAAGTCTTACTACTATTATATATAACACAAAGCAATAGTTGTTTAAATATGACTTAAGTTCATAGGTTCACCACACAGCCGTATTATCATAAATAACTTGAGTCCTCTAGTCTACATAGTAATTTAGGTTTCTTCTGGGATAGAGGATGTTTCTTACACACACATATCTATCTATCTAATACACTGCTCAAAAAATACTAGAAACTAAAATAACACATCCTAGATCTGAATGAAATAATCTCATTAAATACTCCTTTCTTTACATAGTTGAATGTGCTGACAACAAAATCACACAAAAATTATCAATGGAAATCAAATTTATCAACCCATGGAGGTCTGGATTTGGAGTCCCACTCAAAATCAAAGTGGAAAACCAAACTACAGGCCGATCCAACTTTGATGTAATGTCCTTAAAACAAGTCAAAATGAGGCTCAGTAGTGTGTGTGGCCTCCACGTGCCTGTATGACCTCCCTACAACGCCTGGGCTCCTGATGAGGTGGCGGATGGTCTCCTGAGGGATCTCCTCCCAGACCTGGACTAAAGCGTCCGCCAACTCCTGGACAGTCTGTGGTGCAACGTGGCGTTGGTGGATGGAGCGAGACATGATGTCCCAGATGTGCTCAGTTGGATTCAGGTCTGGGGAACGGGCGGGCCGGTCCATAGCATCAATGCCTTCCTCTTGCAGGAACTGCTGACACACTCCAGCCACATGAGGTCTAGCATTGTGTTGCATTAGGAGGAACCCAGGGCCAACCGCACCAGCATATGGTCTCACAAGGGGTCTGAGGATCTCATCTCGGTACCTAATGGCAGTCAGGCTACCTCTGGCGAGCACATGGAGGTCTGTGCGGCCCCCCAAAGAAATGCCACCCCACACCATTACTGACCCACCGCCAAAGCGGTCATGCTGGAGGATGTTGCAGGCAGCAGAACGTTCTCCACGGCGTCTCCAGACTCTGTCACGTCTGTCACATGTGCTCAGTGTGAACCTGCTTTCATCTGTGAAGAGCACAGGGCGCCAGTGGCGAATTTGCCAATCTTGGTGTTCTCTGGCAAATGCCAAACGTCCTGCACGGTGTTGGGCTGTAAGCACAACCCCCACCTGTGGACGTCGGGCCCTCGTACCACCCTCATGGAGTCTGTTTCTGACCGTTTGTTTCTGTAATCCATGAAAAACAATATCTTGATAAACTCTTCTGTAAATGTCTTGAGTCTTATCAATATGCTGGAAAATGGATTTGCCATACACAGACCTGTATGTGTAGCCAACAAAAGCACTTTCGTATGACGGTCACATCACGTACATCAAATCCTTGTGACTTTGCTGCAGGGGAATAAAGACACGAGAGACTGAGTTTACTTTCTATTGTGTCGCCTGAACAAAAAGCTCTTGTGAAAAGGATCAGGGTCCAGTCTGACCACCTCTTCCTCTAGTGAGGAGGAAACTTTGATATGTAGAGCAAGACACTTAACCCTTCGTTGCTACAGAGGCGTCAACCTCTGACATGTATAGCAATTGTAAGTCTCTTTGGATGAAAGCGTCAGCTAAATGAATAAATGAAAGCAGAAAGTCAAATGTTAACAATAATATATATACAGTGGGGCCAAAAAGTATTTAGTCAGCCACTGATTGTGCAAGTTCTCCTACTTAGAAAGATGAGAGAGGTCTGTAATTTTCATCATAGGTACACTTCAACTATGAGAGACAAAATGAGAAAGAAAAATCCAGGAAATCACATTGTAGAATTTTTAATGAATTTATTAGTAAATTATGGTGGAAAATAAGTATTTGGTCACCACAAACAAGCAAGATTTCTGGCTCCCACAGGCCTGTAACTTCATCTTTAAGAAACTCTTCTGTCTTCCACTCGTTACCTTTATTAATGGCACCTGTTTGAACTCGTTATCTGTATAAAAGACACGTGTCCACAGCCTCAAACAGTCAGACTCCAAACTCAACCATGGCCAAGACCAAAGAGCTGTCGAAGGACACCAGGAAGAAAATTGTAGACCTGCACCAGGCTGGGAAGAGTGAATCTACAAGAGGCAAGCAGGTTGGTGTGAAGAAATCAACTGTGGGAGCAATTGTAAGAAAATGGAAGACGTACAAGACCATTGATAATCTCCCTCGATCTGGGGCTCCACGCAAGATCTCATCCCGTGGGGTCAAAATGATCATGAGAACGGTGAGCAAAAATCCCAGAACTACACAGAGGGACCTGATGAATGACCTGCAGAGAGCTGGGACCAAAGTAACAAAGGCTACCATCAGTAACACACTACGCCGAGAGGGACGCCAGGCGTGTCCCCCCCTGTACATGTCCAGGCCCGTCTGAAGTTTGCCAGAGAGCATATGGATGATCCAGAAGAGGACTGGGAGAATATCATGTGGTCAGATGAAACCAAAATAAAGCTTTTTGGTTAAAAACTCAACTCGTCGTGTTTGGAGGAAGAAGAATGCAGAGTTGCATCACCATACCTACTGTGAAGCATGGGGGAGGAAACCTCATGCTTTGGGGCTGTTTTTCTGCAAAGTGGACAGGAAAACTGATCCGTGTTAAGGGAAGAATGAACGGGGCCATGTATCCTGAGATTTTAAGCCAAATCCTCCTCCCATCAGTGAGAGCGTTGAAGATGGAACGTGGCTGGGTCTTCCAGCATGACAATGATCCCAAACACGCCGCTTGGGCTCCGTTAAAAAGCATTTCAAGGTCCTGGAGTGGCCTAGCCAGTCTCCAGACCTCAACCCCATAGAAAAGCTGTGGAGGGAGTTGAAACTCCGTGTTGCCCAGCGACAGCCCCAAAACATCACTGCTCTAGAGGAGATCTGCAGGGAGGAATGGGCCAAAATACCAGCTACAGTGTGCAAACCTGCTGAAGACTTACAGGAAACACTGACCTTGAGTACTGACCAAATACTTATATTCCACCATAATTTACAAATTCTTTAAATATGTGATTTCCTGGAATTTTTTTTCTCCTCATTTTGTGTCTCATAGTTGAAGTGTACCTATGACAAAACAGACCTCATCTTTCTAAATAGGAGAACTTGCACAATCAGTGGCTGACAATACTTTTTTGTGTATCTATCAAAATCTCAAATCATACATTGAAAATGTCATGCTTTGACAAGCAGCACATCTATTAAAGTAACAATGTTTTTCCACTGGTTCTCAGTTTGTGAGGAAATACATTTTGTTGTAATATTTGGGAGTTTCTGTCTGATTTAGATCTCTCACGTTGTTACTGTTTGGAGCAGGTCTTTATTCTTTTGCTACTCTGGAATGAAGTTGGTTCAATATAAATAAAAGTAGCTCAGATGTAGTAAAGGACTTTTGCCATGTTGCTGTAGCTGAGCTTGCTACGTTTCTCCTGGTTGTAGCTTCAGTGTAGTGAAGCTTCATTTAATGTAGAGTTAACTGGTAGCTTGGCTCACTACATTTTCCAAGTGGTTTGTCCAACACTGTAAACACTAGTGTTTTGTTAATTATAAATACAATTGTTAAATATTTAAAGCAGAGGTCACTAATAGGCGGACCGCCGACCTACAGCACATTTATTATTGAGACTTACTACCTCGTGACGGAGCGTTTCTATTTTAACACGCGCAGCTTTTCTAGCATTTACTGTACTGGTTTAGAGGACCAGGAAACTCACAGACCAATCACACGTGCTCCAATCGTCTCATGTGACGCTGCTCAGCCAATCAAATCTGTGCATACCGAGGCTCGCGAGTCGAGTCCGCGAGATTCACCAGAGACGTTTTGGAAACACACCCGAATTGAGGAGACGAAAGATAAAAGAGATTTCACATGACTTTTAATCAAGAATGTACAGATATTTACATGTACATTCCTCCCACGGGCAGTTCAAAACCAGAATATCTCATAGATCTCCAACATGCGAGCTGGAGCTCACGTTTCTCACTGAACAACAGAAAGTAGGAAAGTGGTAGCTCTGTAAGAGGAAATGAAAGAGAAGAGGAGGCATTACAGCTGTTCATTTGTGTGTTTAGTATAAAATTGGTTAAGACTACACTTCATCACTTCAAGCTACACTTTTTATTACATTTTTTCTAAAAATTAGGCACTTTAGTTTACTTAAATTTAGAATTTATTATTTGAATAGTTATTATTTATTATCCCTCCAGTTTGATGTGAAAACTGACTGAAATATTATTTGATTTGACAGTCCGTTGTTGACTAAAAACATGTGTTGATACAACTATAGGTTATAGTACTGAATGATAACGCAAGTTCGTCGTTTTGATGTTCCGGACCTTTGCTTCAGGAAATTTTCTCTAACTAGACCTCTTTGAAATCTAATTGAATACCCCTGATCTAAAGCAAAACAAATGCGCATATTTAGATGCATATAATTATTTGCTGCTGAGAGAAACACCTTCTCGGTGCCTTTGTTCTCTGTTAACTTCATCATTTAGCCTCATCTGTCTCTGTGAAATACAGTCCTTTATTGATATGAAATTCCCAAGTCAGTTTTATTAAGTGCAAAATCACAAACTTGTCTCAAAGCTTTACAATCTGTACATCATGTGGCCTCTCTGTCCTCAGACCCTCTGTTTCTGACAGAAATTACTCCATACAAGTTGAATCTGATCTGAGAACAGTTTAGTTGTTCATGTGTGAATGCTGGTCAAACTGTTTATTTAGCGGGACAACATGCAGAGGACAATATTTGACATCCTGCTCTCGTATTAGTTGTCTTCTTCTTCAGGTCCTTTTCTCAGACAGTGAAAGAATCCTGGAGACAGTTGACACAGATGAGTTTCAGCCTGTTTCTCTGTCACACTGACAAACTGAGGAACACTGCTTCATGTTGAACAGCAGTTAGGACTCATGTTGGATAGAAAATCACTCTGACTGTGTTTCTTCCTCCAGGGTGGACCATGGTGGAGAGCAGAGGTTAAAACCTGGTCTGAGGAAGTGTAAGTGAGGATTCAATCTGACTCATGATGACAAAACAGCACACAGTCAGTTTCTCTTAATACAAAGTTGATAGTTGTGATATTTATTCATTCAGACATTACTGACTAAATGCATCATTAAACTTTATAGAAAACAAAGAATAAACCTTCAGATGTGTCTGATGATAAACTGCTGCTGTGTTGTGTCTCGTTCTCCATCAGATCTCTGTGAACTCACACTGGACACAAACACAGTAAACAGAAACCTCAAACTGTCTGACAACAACAGGAAGGTGACACATGTGTGGGAGAAGCAGCCATATCCTGATCATCCAGAGAGATTTGACTTCTGGCCTCAGCTGCTGTGTAGAAATGGTCTGACTGGTCGCTGTTACTGGGAGGTCGAGTGGAGAGGAGGAGTTGAGATATCAGTGAGTTACAGAGGAATCAGCAGGAGAGGAGACAGTAGAGACTGTGGGTTTGGATGGAATGATCAGTCCTGGAGTCTGTTCTGCTCTGATGGTCGTTACTCTGTCTGGCACAATAACAGAGAAACGGTCCTCCCTCTCTGCTCCTCCTCCTCCTCCTCCTCCTCCTCCTCCTCCTCCTCCTCCTCCTCCTCTAACAGAGCAGCAGTGTATGTGGACTGTCCTGCTGGCTCTCTGTCCTTCTACAGAGTCTCCTCTGACACACTGATCCACCTCCACACCTTCAACACCACATTCACTGAACCTCTTTATCCTGGTTTGGGGTTCTGGTTCTATGGTTCCTCAGTGTCTCTGTGTTCTGTGTAGGAGGGAGACAACTTCCAGTCCTGTGGTTTAAATGTTGGTGGTGGACGAGGCTTCACTTTGGTTAACATCTGGCTCACTGATTGTGCCTTTAATGTCAGAAATGTCTTTTCTTAGAAATGGTGAAATGATCTCAGGGCTGAACTTGTTGTGTACAAAGTGTGTTGACTCTGATTTTCACTTTAATAAAGTTTTCTTGGAGCAGCATCTAGTAGCTGCTGATGGCTGCAGAGCTTCTCATTTATTTCAATAAAGGTTTGAAAACAAAAACTCAACAAATAGTCTTGATTTATTCTGTTGCTCAAGTACATTTCTTTTCCTGCTGAGTTTGATCCTCACAAAGGCTAAATCAAAAGATAAGTCAGGCAGGAAGGAAGTGAAGCCTTGAAGGTTTATTATTATTATCTGAAAAATATAGAGATATATAATAGGATTTAGGTTTTTCTCTCAATATTATTTTAATTATTTTATGAAATGAAGTTGTGTCAACAAACATAGTTCATGCAACATACTCCGGTACAGTAGGTGGCGTATGCACCTTTAAAAGTCATGGCTGCAATCTGCCATAAAAGAAGAAGAAAAACACACTCCCAAAGGTGGAACCAAAGTTACCAGCAGTTGTACCACACGGAGGTATTTCAGCAGGAGCCGGAAGTGAGTTAAAGTTGTGGCAACGCGCGGAATAGCTGAAGTTCTGAGTTAATTTAGTATTTGTGGAAGATTTGTGAGTTTATTCAGGTAAACATGGCGTCTAAACGTAAATGTGACGCCACGGTTCCTGCGGAGGAAAGTGACCAACTGCTCATCCGCCCGCTGTGAGTTCAAACACAACGTTTACCTGGTTTAGCCTCCGTGGCTGCTGCTCTCTCACCAAACTCCATTCAGAAAACACCAATTTAGTAGATCTTCCTTTTATCAACAAAGGCCAAAGCTTTTTTAAACTTGCTATTTAAACTTAACTATTCATTAGAGGCAAGGCTTCATTTCGGCGCAGACCAAATGTACCAAACATTATTTATTTAAGAAGGTTTTCAACGTGGAAATCTAACCGCGAGACTTGACGTTAACTTCAACAACATTCATTAAAATCAGATGCTTATTGGTGGATTCTAGAAATTCTGAGTTAATAATTTAACTGATTAATTAAATTAAAAAACGTATTTTGGCCTTAAGTGTTTTAAAAGTGCTTAATTTTTGAATGGAGTTCTGCTTGATGTTCCTCTGGGGGCAGATATGCATCAGCTGGTCCTTCTGTTATTATTGGTTCAAAAACGCCATCCTGAAGGCCGCAGAAAAGAAACTGCACGATCTGGAGCCAGGGGACTGGATTGTGGGAAAGGACTTCAGGAGAAAGGGCTCGCAGGTGGACCGGGCCATTTCAGATACTGCTAACAACAGAAACAGCAGTAAAAGTGTCTGAAAGAGCAACTTGGATTCACGCCACCCACTGCAAACGAGTGCCAAAGTAACCAAAAGGCCTCAAACCAGGCGAAGATGGAGATCAGTGATTGAGCTGAGCTTTCCCCTGCCTTGTGTTCCTAGGGAGGGAGGGGAGTGGAGGTCTCTGAGACCACCTAGAACCACTAATCTCCCAAACACTCACCGCGGGCACACTGAAACCAACAGATGGCTCTGGAGAGGTGACGGACCGAGACAAAACGGAGGCGTTGTTCTGCTCACTGTCATCATTTCCAAACATGAAAACAACAAACTTGGCCTGACTGAGGGAAAGTTCCAGGCCGAAGAGGAGGAGATGCACGTCCTCCCTGACAGCCCGGCTGGGCTGAAAGACAATGCATGGTATGCAACCACGATGACCACTTCAAGAAAAGTAACCAATCAGAGCTGTTATGCGTGTGCACAGCTCCCTCATGGAGTGGGGAACTCCATACCAGTGAAACCCAGACCAATAAATGTTTCAGAGACACTAGGAGCCCTGTTAACCTTCACTCAAGGGTTTCCCAGGGTGGGCCGAGAAGTTAAGGATATGACCAAGACACTTAACTGTGTAACATCAGCATGGTCAACTTTAGGGTTAGGTTCTGGAACACGTCTCACATAACCACCAGATGTACCTTGGACATGGGTGTCTTTCTATAGATCCAGATTGATCACTGTTTGATCATACAAATAAATAGTTAAAAAATCATACATTGTGACTTCTGGATATTTCTTTTTAGATTATGTCTCTCACAGTGGACATGCACCTACGATGACAATTTCAGACCCCTCCATGATTTCTAAGTGGGAGAACTTGCAAAATAGCAGGGTGTTCAAATACTTATTTTCCTCACTGTACATATCAGCAACATCCCAAATCCTAATAATCTGTTACACTGTGGCACATTTCATCCTCATAGTGGCAAGAACTGAAAATCTGAGCAATAAGCCAAAGCAAAAGAACACATTTGCATTTATTTGTCTTGAAAGCTGTTAAATAAAATTAGTATCACAATGTTTCCATCAACAGAGTTGCCCAACAGGTCCTTCACTTGATGTGGAAGCTGGCTGTTTATTTGAATCAGCCAAGCAGTTCTTGGAAGATGTTAACATCTAGCAAAGTGTTCTTCCTCCACAGCCTCCATCTCCAGGGATATTTCAGTGATGTTCTACTTTGTTTCCATCAGGTGAGTCTGGTTCTACTGCATCTGAAGAAAATCACATACAACTTGTGTAAGTTGTAAATTTAACTGTAAATCTGAAGTCGGCCTTTATTTGATGCAGGTGGCTCTAACCTGACTGGACTTCACACCACGTCTTCCTGCCGCTCTGAGTCTTCTGTCTGTGCTGCAGTGACGGCCTTCAAGTCTGAGACCTTCTTACACACCAGACCAGAGTCTAACTGATGGGAGAGACAAGATTAGGCTCAATATAGACCTCTTTCATGAAACCTGCAAATAATTAGATTTGATCAATATTTATTTTATTTAAAAGTAAATATACTTGCTGAAATTACCAAATATATTTCTGGTTTCTGGTTTCGTGTTGACAGAAAAAAAAGGCATCTACGTGTTCAGAAAAACAATACACACCTTCATTCTCTCATTCGCTCACCTAGACCAAGACCTTATGGTCTTTTCCTTTGTGAGACTGACACAGAGAGCTCTAAAGTAAGAATATTCCACCAACTGTGTAGTGATAGAGTACATGTTGGTTTCCACCGTATCACCAGGATTTTCTTTGCAGCAGTTAGGCTGGAAAGCCAAATTGTTTTTTCATGCACATGTAACCCATGTTAATGTTACCTTAAAACCACTAAAAGGGAAAACAAATAAAAATGTGATGTAAACAAGCAAATAAAATTAGGCATTAAATCAGTAATTTAATGAGTGCAGCAGTAACAGCCAATCAGAGTGACTCTAGCGCGGCTTGCTGGAGAGAGAGGAAAAACAGAGCGAGAGCAGTTGACCTTGAGAAGGAAACAACAGAGAAGTCTGAAACCGACCGAGATGAAAGAGTAAAAAACAAGTTTTGAAGACTGTAAAACCTCATTTCTTTTCCATTTTTGGAGGATTTTGTGTTGCTTTTAGTCCACATTGATGGATTCTGTTTTTGGATTTGCTGAGTGAAAACTACTATTTACAACATGTAAATTATGCATTTCCTTGTTTTCTTTCGAGCTGAATATAACGTTAAGCCTAAGTGCCAGTAGCTAAACTAAAAAAATGTGAATTATGTTGTGTATTTTGTGGTTTTATATGTGTAAAAGAATTGAAAAGCTACATGCATCAGGCACGGTCAAGTTTAGCCTGGTGAGAGAATGGAGACGAACATGGTTCAGATTTAATTTAACGTTTAACCTGTGTTTAGGTGCTAGTCTTCCTCAGTTAATTTTGTTGAAGATATAAAAGACTGAAATGTGTGTATTTCCCTGTTGTAACAGGCCAGGTTTTTTTGTTGTGAGGAGCTGCTTGGTGTTTATGCACGTGAAGCCGGGAAAGAAGATGGCGAACCACCCATAGAATAAACTGCGTCGGATACGGGTCTGTTCCACAAGACCAACCTATACTCGCGGGATAAGGACACTGATTCGTTCACCTGAATCGTGGTAGGACTGAAACTTTATTATTTTGCTGCAGTGTGCTGTGAAGTTCATCTGGACTTTTAAAGGACTTAACAAAAGGACTAATTTAGAGTTGTGAGTTGTTGATTATATGCTGATCTGTGAAGCAGTGTTTCACATTTGTATTTTGTGGTATTGTAATTTCCCTTATTTTGCCAAATTGGTGATGCAAATTTTTTTTTGTTGCTGTAAACTAAAAAAACTTAACCCAAAAACTTATTGGTTAAGTGAAGTAAAGAGAAGGTAGAAACGAAAACTCTTAAAACAGGCCTCACTAAGATAAAATGAGAACTTAGAGCTTCTGACGCCAGTGTCTTTTTTCAGTTCATTGCAATGGGAGCGTCGCGTTTTTACGAGCTGATAAAAACTCCAGCAGCGTGACGAGGTGCTGAGCGTTTTTTTTTCGGTCGCCGAGAGTTGAAAAATGTTAAACTTTGGGAAAAATGCTGCGCTCGTTACTGTCACTTTTTACCCAGCCGTCCAATCACTGTGCAGGAAATACTACACCGTAGCAACGTTTACTATTCAGCATTTAAAGGTGGTACTCACCGAACCCGCATAGGGCGAGTCTGTCCATCACACCTTCTTCACTTTCCACAGCATATGAGACAAGTTATTATAACCGTGAAATAGGGGACGTTTTGTCAACAGGGCCTGTCTCTCTGTGTCTCTCTCACCTCTATTGTCTCTACAGGTTCATTTGGTTCAGTGGTGGAGCTCAGAGTTTTCTTCTCCCTGGATGGAGTCCAACAACAACAAATACTAATTTTAACATCATGAATTTCACAACACTAAAGTGAAGAAGTTTGAAGAATGAAAGACTGAACTGATGGATTCTGACTGTTTTACGTCGTCCACAGATTCAGGAGAAGCAGAGGAATCAGCATCAAGACCACCAGAGTCAACCTGATGATATTCATTATTATTGTTGAATTCCCTAGAAGTACAGAAAGACATGTGACATCACTCATTAGCAGGATTAGAGTAAGGATTAATAAATCACTTTGCCAGGTGATTCTATCTGTTAATCAGTCAGTCAGAGGTTTCTCACTGAACGTAGCTACAGAAAAACAGTCTTTGGAAATGTAGACAGGAAACTGTACCAGTTTTTGAAGTGAGAACGTGTTTGTTTTCACATATTAATATGTGAATCAGGTCTGGTGCAGTAAACGTCTGTGTGTGTAGCTGAATGCAGAAGTTTACCTGCCACAACAACCAGATGTAAGGTGGAGTTATGACGTCCTCTTCTGTTCTCAGCTTCACAGTAATATTTCCCACTGTGTTCAGCTCTGAACTCGGTGATGTGAAGTTCTGTCCTGATGCTTTTGATGAGTCTTCGTTCTCCTTGTACCAGGTATAATTAGCTGCTGGGTTAGCATCACTGCTGCAGGTCAGAGTCACTGAACTGCCCTCCACTATTTCACCAGAGGGACTTGCTGACACAGAGGGAAGCTTTGAGGCATCTGGAAAAGATCAAATCAATGAACCAAATTGAGGATATATGTGTTGAAACGGGTAATAGTTATGTGTGTGGAAGCATCTGAAACTTTGGAGGTGGTTTTGTGACTGGCAGCAGGCAGAGCTGTGTGTTGGACCACTTGAGTTATATTCAACTTCCCTCATACATGTTTTAGGGTAAACAGAGGTAAGTTATATCACCCAAAATATTTTATAAATACTGGAGTCATACTTTTCTGCAGGTGACTGATGTCGATACTGTAGCTGCACGGGGTTAAAAAAAAATTAGCCCTTCCCACAATTCAAACAATGATGCCATGAAACAAAATCCAAAAGAAAAAGTATTTTTGTTTCCAGCTAAATGTATTTGAAAAAAACAGAAGAAGACAGGGTTGATTAAAGACAGAAGCCTTTGGCCACCGCATGCGAAGTAGAAGTATAACCGCTTGGGAAAAACGCTTTTTAAATCTTATTTTGGGGCAAAGTTGTCAAAGTTTTTATGTCCCGGTGACCTCTATAAGTGCAGTTCTGGCTCTCTCCCCATTCATTCAGATAGGAACCTGGTGTTGTTAGTCGAAATAGCTGCCCGGAGGCGTTGCCAAGATGGCGGCCGAGTGGCAGGACCTGCCTAAAAGGACTTTGAGTTTACTCACATTTCACATTAACAGCGTATTATTAACAGCTCGTTCTCAGCTGCACAGTAATACTCTCCAGAGTCAGAGGACTGGATGGAGCTGAAGACAAGCTGTGGTTCTTTACTGAGAGGATGGAAGTTTATGTTCTCCTTGTACCAGGTATAATTAGCTGCTGGGTTAGCATCACTGCTGCAGGTCAGAGTCACTGAACTGTTCTCCACTATCTCAGCAGAGGGACTCAGTGACACTGAGGGAAGCTTTGGAGCATCTGGAGGAGAAAACATGATCACATATAACATTTCAACATGAGCTTGAGCTTTAACAGTGCAGCATATTTTAATTAGACAATAATCCATGCAAACACAAAGTGGCGGTGCAGCTTGATTTCCTCCAACAGAAACTACATGGGTTCATAATCAGGGAACATCTATGACGATTGCCAAAGTCAGTTAATGTGCAGTACAACAGGTTAAAGGCTCCAGATGGTGTCATGTCAGTGGAAGACTGGATGTAAACTCACACACTGAAGGAGAGCGAGACTTCTCATTTCCTTGTACAGCACAGGAAACGCTGTCTGCAGGATCAAAGAAGCCTGAATAAGAATTAGATGTTTGTCCCCAAATACTCTGTCCATTCTTGTACCAGGTGTAGTAAGGATGACCAGGTAGACGACAACTGCTGTGACACTTCAGCTCTGCCCAGATATCAGACGTGTTGACCTGTAATCTGCTCACCTGCACCTGGAGATCTGATTATGTGAATAAGAAACAGAAGTCTTCATTTAGACTCAACTGTCAACACACAGACGCAGTTAATGATGATTAACACTTGGAAATATTCAGATGAAATGTTACCTGTGACAGACAGAGTGACTCCAGGTGAACCAGTATATGTCCCACCTGGTTGGTTTGTTATGAACCTGAACCTGAACTCTCTCTCAGGTCTGTGATTCTCAGAGTGCAGCGGTTCTCATCACAGATATACTGATACAGATCCACAAATTCACCACCTTTAAACCAGAATCTTTTCTCAATAGTAGTATAAACGTAATTAATATAGGATGGATATGTGTAGGTGCAGCTTATGTCCACAGTTGATCCTTTGAAGGCACAGATCTCAGTAGAAGTGTAAGTCACTCCCCAGCCATTCAGACTCTGTACCCCTGTAACACAGAGCACATCAGAACAACAACCAAAATGAATCAGTTATTAAGACAAAGTAGATCAAACTACTGATATGATTTGGGGAAAGGAAACCTGGACAAGCTTAATTATCTGACTGATTATCTGTAGTAATTCACATAAACAGTTCATAATCATGCATCTAACTAGAACTCACTGAATTTTATCATCATATTTTATCATCACTGGGACACAGGAATATTTGTTACTTCTGGGTGTTGCCTGAAAAGTGCATCTTACAAAAGTCCTCAAAACAGGAAATGTATTAAAACAATATCATGCACACTTTTCTGAGACAGAGCAGAAGTTCAGTGTGATGTAAAATCCAGTTGTTCTGTATCATTCTTTTGCTTTCTAAGTTCTAACAAACACAATGTGAGCGGCTTGATTTCCTCTTGTATTAGAAACTACACGGTGTGCTGTTACCATGGATACTACATGGACACTTAATTACTGAAGAAGTAGAGTAAAGACACGCTGAAGGAGAGTCGTAATCTTCACGTATTTAAGAAGTTTCTTCCATTCATTTGTTAGACTGCACCTAGAACTGGAACTGGAAAATATAATTTTATCATGTGTTTATTTTACCATTGTTGGGACATTTGTGTTCCTTCCAGGTGTTTTGGATTTGAAGATCTCAACGAAATGTCCTCCAAAATAAATAATGAATGAAAAAGACGATTTTCTGGCATGTGGGAGAACAGCAGTAGTACATAAAATAATCAGAGCTGTTCTGTATTATTTTTACAACATGTTAACTTCCTTTTTAGGCACTTTCTAAAAAAAACCATTCTGAACGCAGGTGCGTCTGAAGGTGCAGGAAAGTGAACCTGTGACATTTACTGAAGTTTACTGGCCAGAATAAGAGGATAGAATAAGAAGTCATTAGAGAGTCTGGGCTTTTCTTGCTCAGTCCTCTCTGTTCAGTCTGGGGTTGCTGCTTAAGTGTGAAAACAAAAGGAAATGCAGAACACTGTGTGGCTTATAGCAGCTATGATATAAACAGTTTTCAACACAGAGCATGAAACATCACACTGACGTCAGATAGCACAAAAAGAACTCGCAGGGTTTGATGCAGATATATGGTGATATGAGAGAAGTCTGTATGTGATGACTGTGACACTCATTTCTTTCAAAAACCTGTACTGTTGCTAAAGTAGCTGCAGAAACTAATTGTGCACCACATGAGCTGGTGCTTCTACTACCAGGGTCGGCTATCGGACAAAACAGGACTATAGGTTTTTAAAGAGTGAGGAGAAAACACAATATACTCAGTTTACAGCATGTGAAAGTGCTCAGCAAACAGATACTTTATACAAAGGACAGAGCAAAAAAACTAGCGTCCTGATATCCATTAAAATGTACACAAACGACAACTATATAAAGATAATTAAAGTCAGGGGAGTTTCCACAGTTATATAAAACCAATATTTGTAGCGTTTCTAGGAAGTTTGACTTTCACACAACTCTGATCCACTTATTTCCACATGTGACCTTCAGCCTACTTTTACAAGACCTACGTTTTCCCAGATTCCCCTCTTTTAATGTGATGAATGTGAGTTTAGATAAACATTACCTGACACAGAGAGAAGGAAGGCGACAAATCCTCTCGCTGCTGCAGGTAAACTCATAGCTGCTCCTCTCATCTCTGTGCGGCTTCACAGACAATAAAACATGTCAGCAGATCAAATAATGTACACAGGAGATGTTCAGTATCAGTCACATCAATAAACAACTCTACTTACAATGAAGAAGGACGCTGTCTTTAAAGAAGCCTTTCCTCTGTGGTCAGTAAGCAGTAGATGGATATCAGGCTGTTACCACTAGATTTCCTTCCTCTTTAGATCATTAATATTCGTAAGCTTAATAGCAGTTAACACTCACGTCACAATAAAGTTGTGTGAAGTATAAACTTAATAAGACAGAATAAGAAAATAGTGCTATGGCCTGTTGGTACTAAACCAGTTTGCTGCTTCCCACTGACACAAGAGAAAACCATTCAAAAAGAGAAAACATGTGTTTAAGCACAAAGACAAGAAGGTTTGATGCATCACTTGACACTTCTAGTCATCTTAATGCAGTGAAAATGACCTTAATACCAGTTTCAGTTCAAAGAGATGGCCTGCAGTAGTATGGGAGGCAAAAGGTCTCATGCTGAGCACAGTTTATATTTTATATTGAGAAACAGTGATATTCAGTAAATTAGCCTATTATTGCTTTTGTTACATTAGCACAGGAGCATCTGAAACCTCAAAACAAATTTGAATCTGTTTGATTTGATATTGTATCTGGTATGGACACACAATGGTGATATAATGAATTTGATTATGAAAAAGGAGTTTTAATGACTTTGGCTTATTTAGGTGGTTCAGTTGGCTAAACTGTGTGCAGAGATGTCCTCCATTTCAATTAGTTTAAACACACAGGAAATGAGTCATCTAACATTTGAGAAAATATCCAAACCTCACAGTAACAACAAAAAACTATCTGCATGGCCAGAGACCCCTGGAGGTAAGAGAAAATATCTAAAAAATATAAAATATATAAAAGTCTTTTCGTGAAATTGGTGAACTGACCCTTTAAAACAGACACAGGAAGAAGCACACAGCAATGAAGCCTAAATAAAAAGCCTAAAAAAACAAAAGAAAACATTGAGTTTCCCCTCTGGGGATTAAATAAAGTATATCTTCTTCTTCTTCTTCTTCTAAATGTGCCACACTGAAGCTTCCCCACTAGAGGACAGTGAAACATCAGAGA